CCATTTTACAAGTGAGAAAACTGAGGTCTAGAGAGTCTAAATATCTTGCCTGAAGTCACGAGCCTTTTGAGCGACAACAGTGAGGCCAGAACACCTCCCAGGGTGTCATGCTGGGCCCCTCCTCTGCCCCTCTGTCTCTGGGGAGACAGAGCGTCATGGTGGCAAACAGGAGACCCCCCACCTCTGCCTTCATGTTCCGCCCCATGCCCAGTGGGAGGTGGCCCTGTGGGCGATGCGGGCCCCTGCAGGTCTTGTCCATCACCACGTTCAGGCCACGTGGGGCCCCATCCCTCACCATCTGCCCCCTCTCCCCGACTCGGGCAGGGCTGCAGGATTCATACAAAATTAACTGGAGGTTCCGTTTCACAGCACCCCGCAGGATCCGGTTCCCTCCGCCCCCTGCCGCTGCCTGGTCTCCTCTGTCCCCTTTCTGCCCCACCATGAAATATGCAATGCGGGGAGCACCCTGAGGGGCCTCTGTGCCCACCCCAGCTGACAGCCGGTGGTGCGGGGTCCGGAGTGAAGGACGCATGCCGGGTGAGCTGAGTGGCTCAGGGCTGCTCCTCGGGGCTCTGGGGACTGAAGCCGAGTGTTCTCTCAGTGACGTCCTGTCCCCAGTCTGCAGCCTTCCATGCCCCACAGAGAGGGACGCAGGACGTCTCCATTGCTTCTTTCTCTCTCCCTTCGTTCTGCCAATATTTTTGACCCTCCAAGTGCTGCAGCAGGTGCTGGGGACACATGAAGAATGAAAAAGAGCTCCTGTGCCTCAGGGCTCATAGGCCTCCCCAACACCCACTACCCATCTTTCTGGATCATGCGAAGCCACCTCCTCTGGGAAGCCTCTTCTGATAGCACGCTGACTCTGTTGGGCACTATCTCATTTAATTGCCTAATTCTTGAACAGGGATGGGGCCAGAGCATGTTGTTGTTGTTGTTTTTAAAAAGAGACTATTTGGGTGTGATAATAACAATGACAGTGATCATCTTTTTGTGTCTCGGGGCTGCCACACACAGGGCTAAACCCTTCAGGTAGGTGATCTGATTTAGTTCTCACACATTTCTATAGGGAAGGTAGTGTTCTTATGCCCATTTCACAGAGAAGACAACCGAGGCCCAGAGAGGATTCACTGAGCTCTCCCAGTGTCTCTCAGAGAGCAAGCCAGCCAGGAGTCAGACCTGGGCATCAGGGGCTCTACTGTCCCAGGCCGGATGGGTGTGGAAGGAGGGACTGTGGAAGGCATCAAGGGAGGGCACCGCCAGGATGGACGAGAACCCATGGCGGGAGAGGGGAGCAGTGGTGCTCAGTGGCCCAGTGACATATCCAGTATTGCCAGGCCGTGGGCGCCAAGCTTGTGGTCAGGGTGGGCGGCTGGGGGTGCCCTGGGTGGGAGCTGACCTCTATGGCTTCAAACCCCCTCGACCACCCTCAGCAGTCTTTTTGCCTTGAAGTAGCTGGACTTATGGGAGGCCTGGGGCACTTTCCCAGTGTGTCTCAGAGGCCACTCCCTGCTGACATCAGCAGATGAGGGCAGAGGGTGTTGGGATGGCCCACCTGGGCCTCTGTCTGGAGCCGGGACAGCCCCAGATCACAGGGCTTTGGAGCCACGGGCTGGGGTGGGAGGCCAAGCATTGCTCTGAGTCTGAAGAGGGCTGAACAGGGCAGACAAAGGCTGAAGGGGACAGAGAAGGTGGAAAGTGCCCTGGCGGCTCCCCCTGGCAGACAGAGGGCACCTTTGTAGGACTGTTCCCAGGTCACACGCGTGTGGCTTGGGGCTGAGGGCATGGCTGGGCGTGCTGCCTCACACAGTTGTATTCAAAGTCTGCTCTGATGTGAGCCGTGCTGGCGACTTTGAGCCCTCTTGCTTCCCATCTGTGAAATGGGTGACATCACCTGCGTGAGAAGGTGGGTGATAAGGCTGCAGAAGAGCCTAGGAAAACGCGTGTAGCACCAGCTGGGACATGGACCAGTGTCCCGGCCGGAAGAGTCGGATTCCAGCCTTTCTGGAAATCATCGCTACTTCTTCCAAAGTGGTGACAATCCTACTGGAAACAACAAGAGCTGACGCTGACTGAGGAGGACGCACATGCCAGGCCTCACTTGTGTGCCCGACCTCACCCGGTGTTCAGAATCTGTGTAACTGATGGGGAAATGGAGGTGTTCAGTCTCTGGGGCTGAACTCTAACACACAGCGCTGTCCTCACGCCTGGTAGATGCTGTGTTAAACTATTTCACTTTATCCTCATCACAGCCCTATTAGGTTAGTTAGTTAGTTAAGTTGCTCAGTCGTGTCTGACTCTTTGCGACCCCATGGACTGTAGCCCACCAGGCTCCTGTCCTTGGGATTCTCCAGGCAAGAATACTGGAGTGGGCCGCCATTTCCTCCTGAGGTAGTCACTAGTATTTTCCCGTTTTTTTCAGATGAGAAAACTAAGGCACAGGGAGGCTGAGTGATTTGCCTAGAAACACACAGCTGTCAAACCGCCCAGCTGGGATTTGAATCCCAGTCATCCAAGTCCAAGTCCAAGGGTAGCACTACACTGTCTGTTCTTCCTCAAACCTCTCCCAGCTCCATCTGCAACCTGGGAGATCCCTCAGGGCAGCAACGCAGCAGGGGATCTGGTTAATCCCGCCATGGGCTTTCCCTCTCCTCAGGGAGCTTTCAACCTCAGACATCTCTCTTGATGCTCATGAAATATTAGGAAACCAAGGTCCGGTGAGGTTACACAGAAGTCTCAAAGGCGTACAAATGACAGGTGGCAGAGCTACAGTCATTATCACTTCCGTTTTACAGATGAGAAAGCAAAGTCTCCTTTATTTTTCTTTTCACATAATGCCTCACTTCTTGCAGCACACCATGGGGAATTCCATCTAAGAAATGCTGCTCTGTGCCATATCACATGCTTTCCCTTTTCTTTCCTCCATGGCCAAGTTCAAATACCACCTCCTCCAGGAAGTCCCCCCAGCTCACTTCTCTGATCCCTGGGGCCCTTGGCTGCACTAGGTCTGGGATTTGCTATTGTGGGTGCTCAGCTGCTTGAGAGCTGCTCTCTGTGGAGCGGGGACTCAGTGGCCCCATTTCAGGGTTTTATGGGACAGTTATCCACCCTCCTCTATGCCAGCTGGGAGCTGGGTGTTCAGAGAGGAGCAGGATGGGGCTACTGTCCTTAGGCATGCACCTGCTGCCCCCAGCCCTGGAGTGTGGCTATGAGCCACTCAGTGTCCCAGAGCCTGTCAGGTGGGAGGGGAGGGTGGGTGTTTTAACCCGGGATCCAGGGCCCAGCTTTGAAGAGCTCTGTGAACCTGATGGCCGTGTAGACCACACTGTTGCATGCAGTTGGCTGTTTTTCTGGGTAGGGGAGGGGACATAGTTTCTATCAGGTTTTCTACAGAGTCTGGGGGTCCAGAGACACTTAAGAATTCCTGACTCAAGAGAATCACCTGGTCCCACTCAAAATGCAAAGACCATTCGGACAACCCTGTCTCCTAGCAGGCTAGTTGTGCCAACCTGATGGTGGAGGACAGCACAGACTATTCTACCACAGGTGGGTGTTCACAGTAGGCTGGGACCAGGAGGCCCCCGGGCAGAGCCCACTCTCAAGCCCTGAGCTACAGTCACACAGCGAAGGAAGGATGCTTCCCTTATTTCCACTCTCCCCGCCAAAAACCAGACCAAACAACATCAAAGAAGAAGATGTTTCAAACTTCTGCCTAGACTCAGCAACATGGGCAAAACATCAGAGACAGGAGCCAGTCTGGGAAGTAGGACTCATCTTAGCTTCTCCTCCTGACCTGAGAGAGGCGGGCCCCAGACCAAGAGGGACACTGACCCCCAGCACTGCTGGGCACGTGGGTGCCGGTACAGTGAGGGACTGCCTGGCCCCGGCTGAGTGGCAAGGTCTGTGGGCAGCCTCTGCAGGGAGTGTGTTCAGGGTTAGCACCCAGCAGGGCCCAGGGCATGGGGGCTGGAGTTGGCCGATGGTGTGGGAGGGATCTCCGGCCTCAAATTTTGTCGCCTGTCAGTGGGGGTGAGATTTCAGACACTGCCTGCCTCCCAGATTGTGGCCTATCCCTGGAGGAGGATTGTCATCCACTCTCTTTAGAATAATAATGCCTGCCACACATTGAGCACCTACTGTGTGCATGCTTGGGCTTCCACTAGGCACTGTGAGATAAGCATTAGCCCCATTTTCCAGAGGAAGAAACTGAGGCAGCCTCTTTGTGCAAAGCTGCAGTGCCAGGGCAGAGTGCCTCACACCTGAACCTGCGGGGTGTATGTAGGGGACGCTTCTCTCTCGTGGTGAAGGGAAGGTGACTGTGGGGAGGGGACCCAAACTCTGAGCTCTGGTGCCCAGGCGAGGCTGCTGTCTTTCCTCTCTGCCCTGCAACAAATAACCTGGCCTTGGTCCCCTCCAGGGGAGCCCCCAGGAGTCTGAAACCTCCCCTCTCTGGAGATCACAGGCCTGCTCATTAGTAGCGCTAGTGGTAAAGAACCCATTTGCCAATGCAGGAGACATAAAAGATGCGGGTTCTGTCCCTGGGTTGGGATGATCCCCTGGAGAAGGAAAAGGCAATCCGCTCCAGTATTCATGACTGAGAAATCCCACAGACAGAGAAGCCTGGCGGGCTACCGTCCATAGAGTTGCAGAGAGTTGCACATGACTAAAGTGACTTAACACGCATACACAAGAAAGCCCCACGCCATCTTCAAGGTATGACACACATGGGCGTCCGCCACCTTTCCCATGATGACCCAACCTCCTGCCTGTCTGTCATCCTAGTAGCTTCATGGCTGCCCCAGACTGAGGGATCCTCAATCAGAGTCTGGAAGTGTGAGAGTCAGACATGACCAAGCCCAGCGGCGGGGAGCTGGGGAGCTGGAATCGGCTCATTGGTTCCATGCTGAAGCCCGGATGTGCAGATTCCTGGGGCCTGGAGCGGGGAGCCCAGGGTCTCACTGACCCCTGAACCCAGACCCCAGGAGGGAGCCTCCCGCACCTACCTTCGACAGGGGAGGTTTTGAGGCGCCGGCAGATGGCGTCAGTGTCCCCGTAGGTCTCCTTGATCTTGACCACGGCCTCGGTGCCCCGTAGCTCCATGAGGGAGCGCAGCTCCTCCATCGTGCACCCGAACTCGCCCCCATGGCTCGACTCGTTTCTTTGGTTTTTGGAGTAAAAGTCGCTGTTGGTCATGTCACCCATGTCTGCCGCAGGCCCCGCTCGGGGCGGGCCCGAGGGTCAGCGCTGGACAGGAGGCCGCTGGCCAATGGCTCCGCGTGGCTGTCCCCGGCACAGCCTCACTGGATTGCTGTGGCTCCGGGCGGCCGGCTCCAGGGGGTGGCCGAGGTGGGCTGGCGACAGTGGCGGTGGGCTCTGAGGGGCGTCCCCAGGCGCGGGGCGAGATCCAGGGGCCGGAGGGGCTCAGGGCTGCAGACCCAGGAGTCTCCATTCAGCGGGGCCCATGCTGCTTCCGGGAGCCGATATCTACATGGTCAGGGGTGGGGGCTCCTGCAGGGACAAGCAGAACGGTGAAGAAGGTCAGGTGCCAGAGGCCTCAGGGGACAGGTGCTCAGAAAGGTAGCCAGGCACCACACACAGACACACACACCCTACCCCAAATAAGACCCACTACACATACACACACCCAGACACTGATGTTCATAAAAAACCGCATCATGCACCAGCACACGCCGTAAACCCAACAGTACTGATGCCCACCGGGCGCTCCACGCCATCCCTCCCCCAGGTTTAGCCTGATGCATTCTCATAACACACTCTAACCCCCAACAGCCCACGGGGCACACACTGGCCTCACAACACGAACCCTGGTGGACACACAGCCTCCGACACACAGCTCAGGGTGAAACATCCAACTCGCCTACTTTAGGGCCTGGCCTAACCAAAGCCACACACACCCCCCAACACAGGGCTCCCCTTCGCACACGCCCCGGTGGACACCCCTCCCGACCATGAACACTGTCACACATAGTCACATTTACAGGCGTCATCTTCACAGCCCCACCTCCTCCCCTCAGACACTCCCGTGTGCACAACCCTGCTTACACACAAGCCATGCCCACACAATCAGGGCACATCCCCCTCCCCCAAAGTTCACAGCTCCGAGGCTCCTCCCCTCCAGCACAGATGCTTCCCGTGTCCCGGTCTCCTGTGTCTGCTGATACGCACTGTTCTCCCCGTAGGCGTAGGGGTGGAAGAAAGCCCCCCGCCTCCACCCGCAGCCTGCAAGCACTCTGATCAAGGCCCTTGTGTCCTGGCCAGAGGGTCCAGCTCATGTACGTTCAACGAGATGTCACCGTGGCTGTCAGCATGCGCTGGGCTCCATGGAACTCTCACCTGGGGGCCCCGCAGTCCAGCACCATGGACAGCGGCAGCTGCGTTCCCTCGGGGAGCACCGGCGGCTTCTCCCTGCCCGCCCGGCCACCCTTGCAGGAGTGTGGCATCTGTGAGGCTGCCAGGAGAGAACCCAATCCACCCAGACACCCAACACCGGTGGCCAAGGCCCCGGCAAGCATTGGGTGACAAAGGGCCTCGGCTGAGCTCGGCCGGGCCTGGCACGGGGACTGGCCCCGCCCAGCAGGCATGGACAACTGGCCATCCGAGGTCCAGGACAATGAGGGGGAAGGGGTGCGGGCAGGCAGATGGGACTGAGCCCCCACCCCGGCCCCAGCCCCACCCGGGTGTCCCTTCCCCTGCTCCTCTTTCCTTCACAATCCTTTCCTGTTGCACAGGATTTTAGAGCTGGAGAGTCATTTCAGGGCTCCTCTCATTTTCCCAGGGAGGAGCCTGAAGCTCAGCAAGGGAAAAGAACTTGTCCAGGGACACAGAGAGCAAAGGTGGACGGAGCCCACGGATGGCCTGGATCTGCCGACTCCCAGCCCGCTGCTCTTCCCCTCTCACTAGGGGGCGCTCCCTCCTTTCTCGCTGAAGACCAGGGCCAACGGAGGGGGAACAACAAAGGATTCTAAATCACAGCAATCCGGGTTCAAATCCGAGCTCTCCCAAGTCCTGGCTGTGGGGTCCTGGGTGAGCCCCTTCACTTTTGTGAGGCCCGGTTTCTTCATCTATAAAAGAAGTCAGTCTGCCCTGGGCCCCTGCCACCGCTCAGTTTACTGGAAACTAATTATGAACCATGTTCAAATCCAGTGCATGTCCACTCAGGGTGCAGGGCTCCCCAGCCTAGGGCAGGGGGTGCTGGAGCCACAGGAGAAGCCTATCATACCTCAGAGGAGGGCCCTCCGCTCAAGGATGCAGTAGGAAGCCTGGTTTTCACACTGGGGCCAACTCGTATCGCGTGGCGTAGAACTTACAATGGAGCTGATGCCTTAGGCAGAGGCACGGGGCACCTAAAAGTGTGTGCTCGGGGCTCCCCCCACAGTCCTGCAGGAACACTCAGGGTCATCGGCCGCCCGAGCACACACCGCCCCCAGAACCCATGAGTTTGGGCCCCAGTGGGACATCTCTGAGAGGAGCAGGTGAAGCAAGGACCAAGCAAGGCTGTGTGCAGAGATGCAGTGGAGGTGCTCGGAGACACAGCTCCTGGGTTCAAGTTCTGCCTCCTCTCAGCAGAATGGGAGGCAAATTAACTTCAGTTTCATTATCTTAAAAAAAGCAAGGAGAGTAATAGTATCTACCTCGTAGGTATTATGAGGCTTAAATGCGTTATTCCATGCAGAATATTTAGAATCAAGAGAAGCACATGGTAAGCACTAATTCTTGTGACTATCACCAATCCACACAAGCGCTTTTTGAGAAAGTCTTGTTACTCCCTAGAACACGCAAGGAAACTGAAACCCAGAGAGGTGAAGTCACTCGTCCAAGGTCACAGAATGAGTGAGTGGCAGAGCTGGGATTTGAACCCAGGCAGTCTGGATCCAGAGACATATCCTTAATCAGGAGGCATTGCTGCCTTCCCTGGTAGTATCTCCCTCACGGGGCTCTACGATGCTTAAATGAAGTGCCATATGTGAACGAAAGTGCTTCGCAAACCACGGGACTCTCTAACCCCGAGGTGCTGTTTTCTATCTGTCCTCTTGCTACCTGCGGCGTGGCTTACAGGCACCGATAATTACATCTCTGACACCACGAGCTATGAGAACCGTTAGCAGTAATTACATCTGTGATGACAACAGTAGGCATTAGTTAATGGGCGACTGGTGATTTTAATGGCTGTTGTGTGAAGATGAACAATGATCTTCAACCATTTATGCATTCACCCTCCCATCCGTCCATCCATCCATCCATCCAATCATCCATTCATTAATTGTGCTGTGGGCATCTACTTTGTGCCAGGCAGTGGATAATCCAGACATGGGTCCTGCCCTCCAGGAGCTGACAAGGGGCAAGAGAGACAATCAAAAGACCTGTTATAACATGATAGGTTTGCCACAACAGGGAGTCAGTCCCAGATGCTGTGGATTTCTAGAGCAGGAAGATGTGATCGAGCCCAGGGTATCAGGGAAGATTTTTCTCTTAATATGAGTAGGGAATATTCTTCCCCTACAGGAAAATGGGCTTCGTGACTTTGGAGAAGTCACCTAACATCTCTGGGGCTCATCTGCCTAGTGAGGTTGGCCCACCTGTCTTACTGGCTGCTCTAAGAACCCACTGAGATCCGGTGTATGGGTCTCTCTGCAGCTCCTGGCCCCTGGAGCAGACACTCTGCAGTAAGCTGGCTTCTGCGCCTCCTCCCACCTCCCTCCTACCTACCCCTCCTGTATTAGCAAGTGCACCTCCCTCAAGGTGGCAACGAGGTTCATTTACAGCCAGCTCTCAACTGCACACTGACAGTCACCCCTGTCCTAATGAATGGGCACACAGCCTGCTATGGACTGAATGTGTCCCCCTGCCTCAAGTTCATATGGTGAAGGTCCCAATCCCTAGTGTGATGGCGTTGGAGGTGGGGCATTTGGGAGGTAATTAGGTCATGAGGGTGGAGCCCTCATGAATGGGACTAGTCTTCTTATCAAAAGAGACATGAGAGAGACGATCTTGCTTGACAGTGTGAGGACAGTAAGGAGACGGCCATCTGTAAGTCAGGAAGTGGGTTCTCACCAGGAACTGAATCTGCCGGTAACTTGACCTTGGACTTCCCAGCCTCCAGCACTATGAGAAAAAAAAAAATTTCTGCTGTCTAAGCTGCTCGGTCTATGGTATTTTGTTGTCTAGCAACCTGAGCTAAGCCACGGGCCTGGGCAGGGCAGGGAGCCAGCCCTGGGCCCAGAGAGGTTAAGCGGCACACTAGGGTTCACGCAGCCAACTGGGGCCGCAGCCCGTTGACAAGCTCCTCCCGGCTTCCCGAGCTCCTGCTGGCTGGCCTAGACCAAGCCTCTTTCCTGCCGGGGCCTCAGGGTCCCACGTGGAAAGTGAAGACCTGGAGCTGTGAAGAGGCTGGGGTCCCTTCTGGCTCTGATACAACAGCCCCTTTGGACTCCAGGAGAACGTTCTGACAATATTGGGTTTCTGCATTTCAGTTTCATCTTATTAGCATTTAAATGACTCTGTACTGTTATACTTCAATGACTCAAGAGTAGGTTAGGGGCACCTTAATAAAAAGTCTTTGCCAGGAGAGACTGACAGAGAGGAAGGAGCAATACCTTGTTGTGTGTTTTTTTTGGAGTTAATTTAACAAAAAGAAATCCATGTTTCAAAGGAAGGGTTTTTTTTTAAAAACACCCCCAAACCTAAACCAACAGCTTTCAAACCCTAAAGGATGGTAGCTGGGACACTGCAGATGAATTAGGCGCTAAAAATAACTTTCGGATGCCGAATCCTTCTGTTTTCAGATGTGCTGAATTTAAATGCCACCTTAATATGTATTTAGAAAGTCACTCTTTAGTTTAAATCTTCCCCAGCACCAATAAGTGAGAGATGTAGGGACACAGACTCCATCTGGAGATCCCCGATGACGAGGCCTGACGCTGACAGGTGGGGGTTCTGAGATTTGGGGTGAGGTGGGGGGCAAGGCTCCTCACCCCTCCCTGTGCATCCATCTCAATTTCCCGGAACGGAGCCAGCCCCACGGCCTCCCTCTTAGGGCCAGGTGAGGACTCAACTGAGATGGAACTTGGCCCAGGGAAAGGGAGACTCGTTAAACAGTGACTGTTCTGACGATGCTAACTTAACTCACTCCCCTCCTCTATTTGCACACCCAGACTGTCCCCACGCTGCTGTCCTTAACACAGGTCTCAGGCCGACGGCGTCCATCCCCGCAAGGCCCCCAGCACCACTTGGAAGGCTGGGGAGGGTCCCCGCTTGTAGGCACAGCTCGCGGGGCTAGTCTCCCCTCTGCTCTGGTCTTGGCTGATTCCCCCAGGCAGGACATTTTCTTTCCTCTCCTGGATGCAAATTCCGGCCTTTCTGTAGCCCTTCCCCACACCCCTCTCCAGCCAAGGGGGCCCTCCTGCTGGGTGCTGACAGGGGTGAGACGGGGGAACTCAGCTGGCAGCTGGGGACCGAGGGACAGCCTCACGGGACAGCCAGGTGAGGGG